CTGGCTGAGGAATTCTGGGAGTTAAAGTCCACAAGTCTTAAAGTTACCAAGGTTGGACACCCCTGATTTAAAGCCTCAACTTTTAGCATTGAGTTATTACAAGCCATTTCTGTGGTAACACAAACATTTAATCTTCAAACTAAATTTAATTCCTCCCCGCCCCCCATTTATTTCGAGCCTGAAAACCAGAAGCAGTTTTTCCAATGGAAACAGGACCCGATTAATTCTCCACCCTTGAGCTGCAAATATTCTCCTTTAATTGAAATATTCTCCTTTGTTTAAAACAGTTTACATTTCCAAACTCAACCACATCTGTTTTTTTCACCTATCCAATTTTTCTCCCCCTGACTTTCCTATTTGTGAAATGAATCTGTGGGGAATTTCAACATGTCTGTGAAAAATGGCAGCTTAAAAGAAGTCTTTTTTTTTTTTAAGGGTATTCTGTACACATCAAACTGTAAAAAAGAAATACAGGTAATAAACAAACTTACAATAGTTCGTTTAGTGACTGTTTGGAGTTACAACGGCACTGAAAAAAGGATCGTTTTTCACACTTATGACATTTACAGCATCCCCGTGGTCACGTAATCAAAATTCAGATGCTTGGCTACTGACTCATACTTATGACGGTTGCAATGTATTTGGGTCATTTAACAACCATATGGATAGCTGAACAACTGCAGTGATTCTGTCATGCCTCTGTTAGAATCTGACTCTGAGAGCGAGGAGGAACAGCCGACAGGGAGTGGGAGTGTGGCCTGGGAGGTTGTGGAGGAAACTGGGGAAGGGCACAGGCCAGCTGGGCAGTCAGAGGAAGACCCAGGCCCATCTCTTCATCCTAGGGCACGCATGGAGGAGCGGATAAGGGAAAAACATGAATGGCATGGTCTACAGGGGAGGAAAGGGCCCTGATCCCCTTCATGGGCTGCAGCTGTAAGCACTGTTTAAAAGGACAAACTGCACATGGCCCAGTGCTGGAAGCAAAGCGTGAAATAATTTTAGTCCCTCAGTTCTTATCTGAGTTCTAGTGTCCTTCTCAGTGTGTGTATTTCGCCATCTGTGGATGTCTTCAAGCCCTTATCCTGCTTGTCTCATTAATTGCTTCAGTGTGGTTTGTGTTGTTTTTTCTATTTATAATTTATATGTGTTTTGAGTTTGAACAGCATTTGTTCCTTTTCACAACTGTTTGTGGGGGAGTTTTTTCTCCAGTCAATGATAATTGGACCTTTGAAGCCAAGTTGAAGGAATTAAAAGGACTTCACCTGTTTTTGTGACTTTGTTGCTTTTGTATCTCACCCTGGGTCATCACTTGAGGTAAGAAAGGTTGTAAAATGGGGCAAAGCCCACTTAACTGGCTTAGCAAGGGAAGTGGTAACAAGTCAACAGCTATCTGTATAATTATCAGATTTTTTTCACAACCCCATAATCCCTTGCAGAGTGGAGTCTGGGCAGCTGAATGGAGTTAGCAGTGTTTACTGGCCAGATGCCCTTCCTGTTGCCGATGCAGAGTTTTGTTCCAGCAGATATATTCTCAATGTGCCCAGAGAGAGAGAAATATCTGCCTCTACCTTGGATCGAACTCACAGCCTCCTGATTGTGAGGTGAGAGCTCCACCTCTAGACCACCCCACCACTTCGAGGGCTACTTATACATGAGAGGAAATCGAAATACCTTTCTCATCTGGGTTAACAATCCTTCGAATTCTTTCAGATTCAGTGGCGGTCCATTAAAGTGAGTGCTGTTGTTTGCAGTTTTCCCCAGCCAATAGATGGTGACTAAAACCTGAAGAATTGAACCAACATTAATTGGAACAAATCAAAACCACCAAGTCGATTCCATGCTACAACAAGTTCTTTCACACCTTCCAGAGGAAATAAAATCCGTCCCCGGTTTCCCCCCCCCCCCCCGCCGCCACCTTTAAAAACAGTCTATTTTCCCCAAAAGCAAGATACAAGTTTTCTCTCACAGCACAAGCGAAAATGAACATTGAACTGAATGTCTGTCATGCCCTTGTTGGAGTCTGATTCTGAGGGGGAGATTGAGCAGCTGACAGGGAGTGGGAGTGTGGATCCGGTGGCTGTGGAAGAAACGGGAGAGGAGCACAGTCTGGCTGGGCATTCAGAGGCCATCCTCTCTTCATTCTAGGGCACGCAGGGAGGAATGGAGAAGGGAGCAACATGGCTTAGGGAAGAGAAAAAGGCCCTGATCCCTTTCATTAGTTGCAGCTGGGAGAACAGGATATAAGAGGGGCGTTTGCACACTGCTCCTTGCTGGAAGCAAAGTGTGCATTATCTTTGTTGAGGCTTATCTGGGTTTTGGCATCCAACTGTGGGTGCTGCATTATGTTTTGAAAGTCTGCAATTTATCATCCTGGCTTGCCGTGTTAATTACTTCAGTGTGGTTTGTGTTGGTTTTTTTTTTCATTTCTAATTATCTTTACTTTGACTTCAGACTGCATTTCTGCCCTTCATAGACTGTTTTTTGGATGAGTTTGATCTCCAGCTGAGGATAATTGGACACTGGGGCCAACTTGGAGGCATTAAAGGGAATTGATTCTACTTTTGTGACTTTGTTATTTTTGTGTCACGCCCCAGGTCATCACAACGTCCGTCCCAATTCGATGTAATAGCCATGTTGTTGAGTGTTGAGGGAACATCTATATCAGTCTTGGAAGCCTTTTTTTTTTTTTACTTGGAAGCTTCGAGGCTGCCACATTCAGGGCCTGGGAATTTGGGAGGGGGGGATTTCATGGTGGGGATTAGAAGATTAGATACAACAACATTCCTTTCTCAGAGAGTCAAGGACACGTTGCCCTGCACCTGGAGGGGAGTGACTGGGGGGGAATGCCTCCAGTTGGGAAGATTTGATTGGGCCATGTTAGGGGCAAAATTGGAGCTAATAAAGGGACTCTTATTGATTATCTGACTGTGTGGCCTTTGTGCCACGCCCTAAGTCATCACACTGGGATTTCCTGAAAATCCCACGTAGAGCTTGGAAGCTTTGAAAACGGCAATCAGATAAGCAACAGGAACTTTTCCACTCACAGGACTAAATTTCCCCGAGGGGAGGCAGGAGGCACACACCCATTTATAATGGTGAGAACTGAAATGGTTCTCACTTTTCTAACTTTTAGGAAGTCCAACTTTTCTTTATTATCATTTCCTCTAAAAGGAGGGGTTGCAGATATGGGAGTTGTGTTTTATGGTTGTTGTTTTTTTCCCCCTTGCTTCCATTCAAGAAGCTTGTCAGATCTTTGGCTTCCTAAGGGGTGAAAGGAAAAAAAAACCATAAATGAGGAGTTGAAATATTAAAATGGAAGATGTTTTAATGGTTATCCAAACTGCCGACAGAGAGGAAACTCTTACTAGCCAAGGTGTTGGTGCAGAGACAGCATTTATTTCTTTATTTCTCTGCATCCTTCCTATATTATTTTTACAAATAAGGGAGCAAGCACAGGCCGTTCTCCTCCTCCTCCCCCTCCTCCTCCTCCTCCTCTTCCAACACCACTCCCTTCTAGCCTTGATGATGTTACCTGGACTGGTAATGAAATGTTTCTAAAAGAAAACCACCAAACTCAGAGAATCCCAGGGACTACATAGTCCTTTTCCTCCTCCTCCCCCTCCTCCTCCACCCTCTCCTCCTCCACTCCCTTCTAGCACTGATGATGCTCCCTAGTCTGGTCATGAAATGTCTTCAAGAAACCCTCCCAGCTCAGAAAGCACAAAGAACCCCTACAATCTTGCGTATGGCACAACTAGGGTTCTTTCAGTCAAACAAGTCAAGTTTCACCTGACTCCAAAACCAACGAAGAGATTTCAAAAACCAAAAAGAGTTTAAGGAAAGGTCAAAGATCACCCCTAAGAACTTTGCTGCTTGTTGCATTGACGTGGATGTTCTGACTTCTACGTCTTTGGTGCCCTAATCCAGCTTTTATTTATAGAGAAGAAAGCAGAGTCCCCCCACAAAAAACTGAACGTCACTGATGGATCCATGTAGCGTTGTTCCTATCTGGAGCTACCTCCCGTGGAGTTTGAGAAGGTTCCGTTTCTGCAGCTGATGGGAAAAAAAAATCCCGATTTTTGCCTTCATACCAAGCATGGAGGCTCCTTTCCTTCAGCTGCCGGCAACTCCCTTTCATTCACTCTTGAATGTCACGGAAAGGCCAAAGGTTTCCATTCACAAGTTAACAGCAGAACTGATGATAATCAAGAGAGGTGGCCCCAAATGTCAGATCCTCCCTCTTCCTACGGAGAACCTGACCTTAAATATTCACATTCCAAGGCTGTTGACTTTTGGGGGGGAAAACAAGAAAATTATATACTTCAGGGAATTTGTGTCCTTTTGGACCTTTTTCTTGGCATTCGCCCCCCCTATTAATTCAGAGGGGTTGCTTTCTAAGTCAGGAAAAGAGGGTCATTCAGGGCAATCTCTTAATCTCTTTCTTTTTAATTGCAGCCAAAGAGCTTAGCGTGATTCAAGCATAACACTTAGCAAGAGGTTGGCTGTTTTCTGACAGGTAGCAGTGCAATCTTAAGAATCCCATTTAAAAACCCACACAGATGGCATCTCGATATTGGATTGGGCTCTGGAAAGGAATTTCTGTATTTTCTTTTCTTTTCTTTAATTTTAAAAAGCCTTTATTAGTCAAATTCTACAATTAAAAACATGTTTCCATTCATTTCAGCGTGTTTGTAGTGGTGTTCACTCACATTGACATATTCTTTAGTATGTAGAACATTACTAAATATTACTACAATTATTTTACATTCGATTTACAGCATATTTTCATATATTTATGTAGTTGTTTACATAATTATACATAATTATATTTAGTCATACAATATTGTTTCCTCTCACCATAACCTTTCATTCATTCCTCTATTTTGTGTCTACCTTGTAGCCAGTTATACTATAAATTCTAAATTTCGTAGTACTCTGTCTCTTCTCTCTCCTTCATTTCCATTGAAAGCTTATCCATTTCTGTACACTCTAAAACCTTTTTTATTATCGTAATGTCGGAGGGAATACTGTCACATTTCCAATTCTGGGCAAAGGCACTTCTTGCTAATTCATTTCTTACTAATTTCATCTCTTAATGTACCCAGTAGGAATGCTGCTGGTCTCAATTCAATTTTCTGTTTTGTAATTTCCTCCAGCCAATTCCTAATTTTGAGCCAATCATTTTAATTTCTAAATTTTCAATGGCTGGGATTTCGAAGTTTGGATTGGAATTTCTAGATTTGTAGTTACTGCTTTGAAAGAATTGCGTATGTCTGGTTTAATGAAAAGAAAGGCCAGGGGTGACATGATAGCAGTGCTCCAATATTTTAAGGGCTGCCCCAAAGAAGAGGCAGTCAAGCGATTCTCCAAAGCATCACAAGGCCGGAGAAGAAGCAATGGATGGAATCTAATCAAGGAGAGAAGCAACCTAAAACTAAGGAGAAATTTCCTGACAGTGAGAACAGTTAACCAGTGGAATGACTTGCCTCCAGAAATTGTGTTTGCTGGAGGCTTTTAAGAAGAGACTGGACAGCCATTTATCTGAAATGGTATAGGGTTTCCTGTCTAAACAGAAGTCTGTGTCTGTCTAAACAAGACAGACGCAGACTTCAGAGGATAATTAGAACTGCAGAAAAAAACAAATACTACCAACCTGCCTTCCATTGAGGACCTGTATACTGCCCGAGTCAAAAAAAAGGGCTGTGAAAATATCTACAGACATCTAACATCCTGGACATAAATTGCTTCAACTTCTACCCTCAAAACGACATTATAGGACACTGCACACCACCACAACTAGACACAAGGACAATTTTTTCCCTGAATGCCATCACTCTGCTAAACAACTAATTCCCACAACACTGTCAACTTATTTACGAAAACTGCATTGCTATTATTCCTCTACGACTAGGTAATAACACTTCCTAGTACCTACCTCTTCCCACTTATAACTATAACCGTGTTGCTTGTATCTTTACAATTTACAGTGTTTTATTTGTTCCCTAGCATGATTTGATTGCTTATTAGTAACCTATGACGATCACTAAGTGTTGTATCTCATGATTCTTGATGAATGTATTTTATTTTTTCTTTATGTACACGGAAAGCTTATGCACCAAAGACAAATCCCTTGTGTGTCCAATCACACTTGGCCAATAAAGGATTCTATTCTATTCTATTCTATTCTATTCTATTCTATTCTATTCTGTTCTGTTCTGTTCTGTTCTGTTCTATTCTATCTCAAATGGTCTAGGATTTCCTGCTGGGCAGGAGGTTGGACTAGAAGACAGATAACAGATAATCAGAGTTGGAAGGGACCTTATAGGTCATCTAGTCCAACTCCTGCCCAAGCAGTAGACTCTACACTATTTCTGACAACTTTCTATATGTCAATTGCCAAAGAGATAAAGTCATTTTTCTGTTCTTTTTAAGCCACCTCTTTTCAGAATACTCTGGAATATTTCCTAATTTCTTTTCTTTCTTTTTTAAAAATTCAGGTTTCTCCAAGAAAGCACTGCTGTGATAACTCTGTTGGGGTTTCAAATGAAAGCTTTGTAAAAACAGTTCTAGAGTTTGGTCAATTCGTTTCAGCAACTTCCTAACGGAGGGCCTCTGCAGAGCATTCTCAGTAAATCTTGCAAAATGAAACATTATTTATTCGGAAAGTTTTTGCTGGCTTGGGGGGGAAGAGCAATTACTTTCCTGATGACAAGCCAGACTCGATAAAATAATAGTGCTTTTTTTTTTAACCCGCGGTTACAATTATGGTCTTCAAAATTGTATTGAAAAGTTCTTGGTTATTTCCTTAACACGACTTGAGGATGTTCAGGAAAATATAATGGGAACAGTTTGGAGTGTACCACGGACACTCATTCCAGAAATTGTGTCTGGCTTTTGGATAAGTTTATCTAACTCTATGACCAACTGCATTTTAAAACTTTCCTTCCTTACTGTGCAGTCTCTGATATTGCAACGGCCGTTCCTGGTTTCAATCAGGATGACGGAAGGAAAAAGAACTGCTTTGAAATTAAAATCCCCTTTGGAGGGAAGACAGGAAAGTTCACAGGCAATAAAGCATTTGTACATTCCTGCAAACTGGGTCGTTCATCCGCTTAAGAGATAACAGCGACTTTGGCTACTTCAAATGACTAAAATGAATATAATAGAAAGAGAAAGAGAGAGAGAATGGCATGGCATGACATAGCATAGAAATTAGGAATAGAAATAGAATGGCATAGCATAGCATAGAATAGAAATTAGTAATAGAAATAGAGATAAGAATTATAATTAGAAATAGAATGGCATGGCATGACATGGCATGGCATAGCATACCATAGCACAGAAATTAGAAATAGAAATTAGGAATAGAATGGCATAACATAGCACAGAAATTAGAAATAGAAATTAGGAATAGAATGGCATAGCATAGCATAGAATAGAAATTAGAATTAGAAATAGAATGGCATAGCATAGCATAGAAATTAGGAATAGAAATTAGAATTGGAATTAGAATTAGAATGACATGGCATAGCATAAAATAGAATAGAAATTAGAAATAGAATGGCATAGCATAGCATAGCATAGCATAGCATAGCATAGCATAGCAGAGTTGGAAGGTCTTGAAGGTCTTCTAGTCCAAGCAAGCGCTTGCAAGCAAGCGTTCAGTCCTAAGGGAGGTGAGCTGAAGATCTAAAGACTAGCTAGAAAGCAAGAAATCCAACCATTTCCTGCTTCCTAACTAATCTGCACAGCAGAACAGATGATGGTCGGAAAAAGGAAAAATAGCAATTTAGCAGGCAAGTTTACTGGGTAAGGAGTGAGTGGTAAGGAGTTGTGTTTCTGCACAGCCTGGATTAATTGCTCTGGGGGTGAGATTTCTCTGCGGCCCACCAAAATTTTCTCACAGCCCACCAGTGGGCTGTGGTCCACCGGTTAGAGACCACTGCTTTGGAGAATAGCTTGACTCCCTCTTCTTTGGAGCAGTCCCTGAGATATTGGAACACTGCTATCATGTCACTCCTTAGTCCTTCTTTTCATTAAACTAGACACACCCAATTCTTGCAACCGTTCTTTATATGTAGACACCGGTTTGGTCATCTAAACATGTTCTTCCTAAAGTTTTATTGTGTTACTGTTATTATTGTTGTTATTCAAAAGACTCATTGTGTTCCTGGACTCTACTGTGCTCACAGAGGCTTCGCTATTAACTCATCAAAACCGGAGCAAAGTTAGCTTTACATTCGGGGTGTCCAACCTTGGCAACTTTTAAGACCTGTGGATTTCATCTCCTAGAATTCCCCAGGTGGCAAGGAATTCTGGGGGTTGAAGTCCATAAGTCTTAAAAGTTGTGGTTAGGACCTCAACTCTCAGAATCCCCCAATTCCTTCCCAGTGTGGTTGCCGAGGTTGGATGGATACCCCCTGTGCATGGATCGCCAAAAGTCAAAAGTCCCAGACAATTTTTTTTTAAAAAATCTTTTTTTAGCCCCAGAAATATATTGGAGTTTTAACCTTCATTTGCTATACACACACACAACACACAAAAAAACCAACGTAGGACAAACACCTGGGCCCTATGCAGCAAGAAGAAGGCTTACACGTTCGAGTACTTACATTTTTCAGCTTTCTGCTACCATCAAGATTCCTGCAAAAGAAAGGAGGAAAAAAAAACATTTCAAAAAAGCAGAAATTCCTTCCACAGTTTGTATAATGCGACAGGTCACATGTTTCCTCCTAAGCAAGGAGTCAGCAGGATGTGTCTGCGGGTTGGGAAACACACAATGGAAAGCGACTGAAGCCATTTATTGATTTGATACAGTGCGGAAGTATGTTCTCATGTGCTGCTCGGAGCCCCCACGCTGCTAATATTTGAGTTACCGACGAATTACATATTTTTCCTCCATGCAAAATCAAAGGGAGGCAAGGCGGGTAAAAGAGAAAATAAATATGATGGGGGTCCTTGGGGGCTCTCTGAGCTGGGTTGTTTTCTTGCAGACATTTCACTGCCCAACTAGGCAACATCAGTGTTAAAAGGGAGTGAGGTTTGCTCTCTAGCACTGATGATGTTACCTAGTTGGATAATAAAAGGTCTGCAAGAAAACCACCAAGCTCAGAGAACACCAAGGACCTCAGTCCTAGTCCTCCTCCTCCTCCTCCTCCTCCTCCTTCTCCTCCTCCTCCTCTCCACAAATCCCACGCCCTTCTAACACTGATTATGCTACCTAGCTGAGTAATAAAATGTCTGCAAGAAATCCCCCACCAAGCTCAGAGAGCACCAAGGACCTCACACACACCTTCCTTTCAACCCTGAGCTACACACATTCTCCCTTCTCAGAGAATAAATTCTTCTAACTGCAATAGCTAGCTAGAGTTGGAGAACCATTATGTCCCTCAGCCATCATTCAGTTGTTTTAGGGAGATGCGAAGGATAGTATATGTGGATATTTTGTGATGCCTCTTCTAAGCCACAGTGGCAAAGACTGGGCAGCTCTGTCCACGGCCGCAGACTTCCTTTCCTTCTGTGTCCACGGGAAAAGCTCCATCATAAAGCAGAGTCGGAAGTCATCCCCCAAGCACATTTGCTACAATCTACCTCTTAAATATATTCAGGACGCCGGTGGCTCAGTGGCTAACATGCTGTGCTTGTCGATCAGAAAGGTCGGTGGTTCGGACGTTCGAATCCCGAGCGTCGTATCATGGAGTGAGCTCCCATGACTTGTCCCAGCTTCTGCCAACCTAGCAGTTCAAAAGCACGTAAAAAAAAGCAAGTAGAAAAATAGGGACCCCTTTGGTGGGAAGGGAACAGTGTTCCGTGAGCCTTCGGCATTTAAGACAGAGACATCTTTGGACAGCACTGGCTATTTGGCTTTGTAACAGGGATGAGCACTGTCCCCTAGAGCCGGAAACAAATAGCATGGGTGTTGTTGTGGTTCGCCGGCAGCTGGTGCAGAAGGCAGCGGAGTTGGACCGTGGGGAGGAACAGGGACCATCAGGGAGCCTGGAGAGGACTTGGACAAGGGTCCTGCATCTGATGCAGAGATGGGGCCAGGACCATCTAGGAGTGGGGTGCTGACTCCGGAGCCTCTGGAGTCTGGCAGCAGCGAGGCAGAGGAACAGGGGGAGTCTGTTCCCAGTGCATGTGTACGCAGAGCTGCTAGAAGGCAAGAACAGCTGAGACAAAAGGGGTGATTTGGGAATAAGGCTGGGAGGTGACTGCCCCTCCCATAAGGTTTAAAGGACAGGCAAAGGTGAAGAAACCTTTGCAGGAAGCAAAGTAGCTTGTTCGGTTCGGATTCATTCTTGAAGCTCTTTGTACTTCAGTTGGTTTCTTTTCTAGTTCATTTGATACTTCTGTTTCTGGCAGCACTTCAAAGGTGGGTGCTTATCTCAGGGAATTATCTGAGATTAATTCCCAGCTGGGAATGAAAGCAATTCCCAGCATTGCAATAAAATAACTCTTGTTTTTAAAATAAGCGTGTGCGTAATGACCGTTTAGGAAGCCTGGGTCAGAACACCTTTCCCTTTACCTCTTAAATTTGGAACGTTGTGAAACTCAGCACACAACTGAATCTAGAATCAAGAATTTTGTGTGTGTCTGTGTGTGTGTGTGTTTGTGTTTGTGTCTTTTTGAGCCAAAAGTCAGGAATCTCAGCCCTGAGCAGGAGTCTACTATTCTTTGACAGCTCATCATCCAGGAAACAGCTGGGATAAGGTTTTGTGGGAAACCACAGCTCGCCAAGGAAGGATCTGGGATTAGGAAGGATGTCAGAGTATCTTCTCCTCGCAGCCCATTTGCTTTGATTTTCAGCTTACACTTGACTCATCGAGAGCCTGTGAGCTAACTTTAGATAAATAAAGACCGTGACCTTCTGGATAGCATGTCTATTGAGTGAAATCCAGAGGTTGCCACGATGGGCGGGGTCACCCTTCCAAATGCTGTGTGAGCAGGACCAGTTGCTGGGGCGATATCACAACAAAGGAAGCATTAAGGCTCTCGGCCACTTTGGATGTTTCATTGCCTCCAAACTTGGAATGCAGAAAAAGAAGAACCCTTTTTCCTTCTTCTTTCGTTCTTCTACATCAGGGGTGTCCAACTCATGGCTTGGCTGGAGAACTCTGGGAGATGGAAGTCCAAAATATCTTCGAAGTGCCACGGTTGAGAAACACTGAAGTAGATTCATTGCCTCCAGGAGTTGTGAATGCTCCAACACTGGAAGTTTTAAAGAAGAGATTGGACCACCATCTGTCTGAAAAGGGGTAGGGTTTCCTGCCTGAGCAAGGGGGGTGGTCTAGAAAACCTCCAAGATCCCTTCCAACTCTGTTATTCCATTTTATTTTATTATTTATTTTATTTTATTATTTATCTTATTTATTTATTTTATTATTTATTTTATTTATTTTATTTATTTTATTATTTATTTTATTTATTTTATTATTTATTTTATTTAATTTTATTTCATTATTTCATTATTATTTTATTATTTGTTTGTATTTTATTTTATTTTATTTATCTCATCTCATCTCATCTCATCTCATCTCATCTCTACTCCACTCCACTCCACTCCACTCCATTCCATTCCATTCCATTCCATTCCTCTATTCTATTCCATTCCATTCCACTCCA